GAGGTGGGGGGACTGCCTGAGCCCAGGAGTTTGAGGCTGTGGTGAGCCACAATGTTGCCACTGCACTCCTTGGCCCTCCGCCCAAAATAGTTTGTTTTTTCTGAGTTGGAGTCTCACTCTGTTGCCCAGGCTGGAGTGCAGTATCATACTCACGGCCACCACAGCCTTGACTGCTGGGCTCAGGCAATCCTTCCACCTCGGCCTTCCAAGTAACTGAAACACAGGCATGTACCACCACACCTGTCTAATTTTTTTATTTATTATAGAGATGAAGTTTCACCAAATTGCCCAGGCTGGTCTCGAACCCGTAGGCTCAGGCAATCCTCTCATCTCGGTCTTCCAAAGTGCTGGAATTGTAGGCGTGAGCCACCACACCCAGCCCAAGTCATACTGTTTAATGAAGGAAACCAGCCTGAAAAGTCTATATACTGTATGATTTCAACTATGTGATATTCTGAGAAAGGTAAAAGTATAGAGATAATTAAAAATAAGTGGTTATCAGGGGCTGGGAGGAGGACGGGGTGAATCGGTTGAACACAGGGGATATTAGGGCAGTGATACTACTCGGTAAGATACTGTAATAGTAGCCAGGCTTGGTGGCTCAGCCTGTAATCCCTCGCCTTTGGGAGGCTGAGGTGAGTGGATTGCCTGAGGCCGTGGATTGCTTGGGAGACCTCATCTCTACCATAAATCAAAAAATCAGCCGAGTGTGGTAGCGCGTGCCTGTAATTTTGGCTACTCAGAAGTCTGAGGTGGAAGGATCGCCAGGGCCCAGCAGGTCAAGGCTGCGGTGGCCAGAAGTGGTCACTGCACTCCAGTCTGGGCGATGGAGTGAAACTCCAACTCAAAAAAAAAAAGATACTGTAATAGTGGGTACATATTATGCATTTGTTAAAACCCACAGAACATGCACCTCAAAGAGCGAATCCTAGTGTAAACTATGGACTTTAGTTGACATTGATGTATCAGATTGTTCAACTGTAACAATGTACCACACCAATGCAAGATGTTAACAATAGGGAGGCCAAGCCAGTGGTTCTTAGCCTGTAACCCTAGCGCCTGAGAGGCTGAGCCGGAGAATCTCTTGAAGCCAGGAGTTTGAGACCAGCCTGGGCAACACAGCGAGACCTCCTCCTTCCGCTAAAAAAATAAAAAATTAGCAGGCATTCTGGAGCGTGTCTGCAGTCCCAGCTAATCAGGAGAATGAGGCAGGAGGATCGCTGGAGCCCAAGAATTCGAGACTGCAGTGAGTAAGGTTCCTGCTGCTGGAGTCCAGCCTAGCAAGAGAGAGAGATTCTGTCTTTATTTTTATTTATTTATTTTTTTGAGTCAGTGTCTCACTCTGTCACCCAGGTTGGAGTGCAGTGGTACACTCACAGCCACCGCAGCCTCGACCTGCTGGGCTCCGGCGATCCTTCCGCCTCAGCCTTCCAAGTAGCCGGAACTACAGGCGCGCGCTACCACGCCCGGCTAATTTTTTGGATTTATTGCAGAGATGAGGTCTCGCCAAGTTGCCCAGGCGGGTCTCGAACCCGCGGGTTTAGGCAATCCACTCACCTCGGCCTCTCAAAGTACGGGATTACAGGCTGAACCACCGAGTCCGGCAGATTAAATTATCTTGAAAGTCATTTCTGATTCACACTCGGGCTCTGAGCAAAACCATGCAAAGGTCTGCATGTTCTGCTTGTCCCGACTGGAGGGCGGCTTTCGAGCCATCCAAAGACGCTGCCCGTTTGGGCGCCCTCGGTCCAACGACCACCCCCTCCATCTCGGCACTACCGCTCCCACCCTCAGAGCCCAACCCCGCACACGTGCTGTTGGAGCGGCCGGGCGCATAGGCCACGCCCCAGCGTCCAGGCCACGCCCAGCACGCCGCTGGCTCTCTGATTGGACAGCGCGGTGGAGGTGTGGCCGGAAGAGGTGAGTCTGATTGGCGGGGTCGTGACCAAAGGTGTGCGGCGGAAACATGGCGGAGCGCATGAGGAAGCGGCCCTGCGGCCCGGTGGGTGTCGGGAGCGGCGCCACGGGCCGGGCAGCGGGATGGAGGCGTGAGAACCGGCGGCGCGGGGCCGGTGGCGAAGCCGGGCCGCCCCCCGGCTCCCTGCCTCTCGCCGATCCGAGGCCGGAGCTCCGAGGGTGCCGCAAGCTGGCTGCCGCGTGCGCCTCGTCGGGCTGAGAGCCGGAGGGGGAGCCGGGGTGGGGGCGGGGCTGGGGCGGTATCAGAATCGGGAGCCCCTGGGGACCTCCGGGTTGCGGTCCCCGGGGTCCGGCCCCGTCGTGGTGTCTTGTCACTCCCGGGTCGACTGGGCAGGCCCTGTCCCCTGAGCCGCCGTTTCCTCTTCTGTCCTGTGGGAACTCTTTCAGCAGTTTACTGAGCGCCTACTGTGTGCCCCACCTGGCCCCGTACACTGCTTCCTGGGGCAGCTGTGTGTAGAGGGTCCCTGGCTTGCTCAGGGCCCCTGTTAGAGTGGATGACTGGAGCCGCAGGCGAACCCCCCCCCAGGTGTGACCCTTCAGCCTCACACACCTGACCCTCTTCCACTCCTCCTCCAGGGTGAACACGGCCAAAGGGTTGAGTGGCGAAAGTGGAAACAACAGAGTAAGTAAGGGCTGGGTGCGGTGCGAGAATATCTGTAATCTGTGCTCACACTTCCCAGGCCACTCTGGCAGTACACAGCCAGACCTTGGAGAAAGACACCAGTTGTGTCCCCTCTGGGTCCCACGGCACCCGAAGTGGGGTGGCAGAGGCCAGGGCCCAGGGGAGGCCCCCTTGCTGCCCTCTGGCTGCTCACTCAGCAGTGCTCCAGAGGCCAGCCTGACCCAGCCGGTGGGAACAGCCCCCTCGACCAATCGAAATGTCTGTTTTTTTGGGGTTTTTTGAGTTGGAATCTCACTCTGTAGCACAGGCTGGAGTGCAGGGGCACGCTTACAACCACCGCAACCCCGACCTGCTGAGCTCCAGCGATCCTTCCGCCTCAGCCTTCCAAGTAGCTGGAACTACAGGCATGCGCTACCACACCCCGCTAATTTTTTATTTATTGTAGCGGTGAGGTGTTGCCAAGTTGCCCAGGCGGGTCTCGAATTGCTCAGGCAATCCACTCACCTCGGCCTCCCAAAGTGCTGGGATTACAGGCTGAGCCACCGAGCCTGGCCAATTTTTAAAAAATTTACTGTAGAGACAAGGTCTTGCCGAGTTGCCCAGACCGATCTTTTAACTCCTGAACTCAGGCAGACCTCTTGCCTCGGCCTTCCAAAGTGTTGGGATTACAGGCTTGAGCCACTGTGCCTCACCTGAGATGTTCTCTTATCCAGAGAAAGAGGAGAAGAAGAAGTGGAAGGATCTCAAGCTGACAAAAAAACTGGAGCGGCAGCGGGCACAGGAGGAACAGGCAAAGCGCCAGGAGGAAGAGGAGGCAGCTGCAGAGAGCAGGGACTGTGGTAAGCAGGCCGGGTCCTGGGGAGAGCCATGGGTTGTGGCCTGCAGTGGCTGGCCTGCAGGCAGAGCAGACAATGTCATATGGGGAAGGGCCCTTAAAAACCAGTGGGTTGGCCGGGCTTGATGGCTCAGTCTGTAATCCCACGCTTTGAGAGGCCGAGGTGAGTGGATTGCCTGAGCCCGTGGGTTTGAGACCGCCTGGGCAACTTGATGAGACCTCATCTCTACAATAAAACAAAAATTAACTGGGCGTGGTGGCCCGTGCCTGTCGTTCCAGCTACTTGTAAGACTGAGGCGGAAGGATCGCCGGAGCTCAGCAGGTCGAGGCTACGGTGGCTGCGTGGCCACTGCACTTCAACCTGGGCGACAGAGTGAGACTCTGACTCTAAAAAAATAAAACAAAAAAAAACAGTGGGTCCAAACATCTTGTCCTGATGAGAAACTGAGGCCCAGAGAAGGGGAGAGACCCAGCAAACTGACTTCTAGCCTCCTACCTAAATAGATTACAAACCTATGGAGGTAAGCATCATATCTCTTACCTTTATACTCCGAATCTCATAATCTTTTTTTTTTTGAGTTGGAGTCTCACCACAGCCTCGACCTGTTTGGGCTCCGGCTATCCTTCTGCCTCAGCCTTCCAAGTAGCTGGAACTACAGGTGCGCGCTACCACGCCCAGCTCATTTTTGATTTATTGTAGAGATGAGGTCTCGCCAAGTTACCCAGGCGGGTCTCGAACCCGTGGGCTCAGGCAATCCACTCACCTCAGCCTCCCAAAGGCACGGGATTACAGGCTGAGCCACCGAGCCCGGCTGAACCTCATAATCTTAATGATAGTTTTTTTGTTTTTTTTTTAATTTATCGTAGTGATGAGGTCTCACCAAGTTGCCCTGACTGATCTTGAACGTGCAGGCTCAGGCAATCCACTCACCTCGGCTTCCCAACTTGCCGGGATGACAGACTGAGCCACCAAGCCTGGCCAATTTTTTTTTGAGTTGGAGTCTCACTCTGTTGCCCAGACTGGAGTGCAGTGGCCGCTCCCGGCCACCGCAGCCTCAACCTGCTGGGCTCCGGCAATACTTCTGCCTCAGCCTTCCAAGTAGCCGGAATTACAGGCATGCACTACCACGCCTGGCTGATTTTTCAATTTATTGTAGAGATGAGGTCTCACTGCCCAGGCAGGTCTTGAGCCTGCGGGCTCAGGCAATCCACTCACCTTAGCCTCCCAAAGGTGCGGGATTACAGGCTGAGCCACCGAGCCCGGCAATTTTTTTTTTTTTAAGTGTAGTGGCACGCTTATGGCCACCGCAGCCTCGACCTGCTAGACTCAGGAGATCCTTCTGCCTCAGCCTTCCAAGTAGCTGAAATTACAGGCATGCACTACCACGTCCGGCTGATTTTTTGATTTATTGTAGAGATGAGGTCCTGCAGCCCAGGCAGGTCTTGAACCCGTGGGCTCAGGCAATCCACTCACCTCAGCCTCCCAAAGGCGCGGGATTACAGGCTGAGCCACCGAGCCCGGCAATTTTTTTTTTAAGTGTAGTGGCACGCTCATGGCCACCACAGCCTTGACCTGCTAGACTCAGGAGATCCTTCTGCCTCAGCTTTCCAAGTAGTCGGAACTACAGGCATGTGGTACCATGCCTGGCTAATTTTTTTATTTATTGTAGAGATGAAGTCTCACCAATTTGCTCTGGCTGGTCTTGAACCTGTGACCTCAGGCAGTCCGCTCACCTTAGCCTCCCAAAGTGCTGGGATTATAGGTGTGAGCCACCTTGCCCAGCCTTGTTTTTTTATTTTTTGTAGTGAGAAGGTCTCTGTTACCTAGGCTTGTCTCCAGCAATTCTGGCCTCAAGCAATCCTCCCAAAGTGCCGGGATTACTGGTGTGAGCCATAGCGCCCAGCCCAGAGAAGCCTTTTATGGGTACTTCCCATGTGGCTGCCTCCAGAAGAGGCAGAAGGAGAGACTGGAGTTTGCTCTGGGAGCCAGAAGGGTTGAACCCCTACCTCAGCTGCCCCATGTTTTGTGTGGCCTCAGGTTGTATCTTTGCCTTCTCTGAGTTGAAGGTTCCTCACCTGTAGATTGGGATAATGCTGGTATCTACTTCCTAGGTCTGTTGCGTTAATGTGCACACATAAAAGGCTTACTGGATATTAGTTCACATATCCCCATTCAACAGCTGGAGAACTGAGACGATAAAGGGCAGAGCCAGGATGTGAACTTAGGCCATTGCTCTAACCATTCCCTGGCCATGCCCATTGGTCTGCCCTGCTCAAAGGAGCCTTGGAGATTGCTGCGTCCATTTTCCTCCTGGGAGATTGAAGGGGCATTGGATCTACTTTGCCAATTTCAGAAATCCTCACAGTTGGAAAATTCTCTAACCTCGGCCCTGGGAACAGAGGAAAGGAGGAGAGGGTGGGTCCTGGCCTTCTAGGCTAACCAGGAACACCCTGCCCCTGCCCAGGCCGGCCCTACACCCTGAGCGTTGCTCTGCCTGGCTCCATCCTGGACAACGCCCAGTCACCTGAGCTTCGAACCTACCTGGCTGGCCAGATCGCCAGAGCCTGTGCCATCTTCTGTGTGGATGAGATTGTGGTATTCGATGAGGAAGGCCAGGATGCCAAGTGAGAGGCCATCCCGCTGGGTGCTGGGGCTTGGGGGAAGGGAGCGGCTTCCAGGGTCAGTTTCACCTCCCCTGTCCACCTGCTTGGCTCTGCCCTGCCTGAAATCCCTGCAGCATAATCCTTAATGGATAGAGTTGCCAGGCGGGGGTGGTGACTGCGGAGGTCACACTGGGTGGGAGGAGCTCTTGAAGGGGAACAGCTGGATCTTGCCCTGTTCTCCAGGACTGTGGAAGGGGAGTTCACAGGAGTCGGCAAGAAGGGGCAGGCGTGTGTGCAGCTGGCCCGGATCCTGCAGTACCTGGAGTGTCCACAGTAAGGGGGTGATTCCCAGCTCATGATGGAGGTCCAATGGGAGGTCAGGCAGGAGGTGGCCTCCCTGGGGCCGTCTTGAGATCTCTGTTCTAATTTTTTTTTTTTTGGAATTGGAGACTCACTCTGTTGCCCAGGTGCAGTGACATACTCATGGCTATCACAGCCTTGACCTCCTGGGATCAGGTGATCCTTTTGCCTTAGGTTCTCAAATAGTTGGGACTATAGGTAGGCACCACCCTGCCTGGCTAATGTTTTCTTTTTGAGCCGGAGTTTCACTCTGTCACCCAGACTGGAATGCAGTGACATGCTCACGGCCACCCCGGCATCAACCTGCTGGGCTCTGGCGATCCTTCCGCCTCAGCCTTCCAAGTAGCCAGAACTACAGGCGTGTGCTACCATGCTTGGCTAATTTTTGATTTATTGTAGAGATGAGGTCTTGCCAAGTTCCTGGGGCTGGTCTTGAACCTGAGGGCTCAGGCAGTCCTCTTGCCTCGGCCTCCCAAAGTGCTAGGATTACAGACTGAGCCACTGAGCCTGGCCCTGGCTAATGTTTTGATTAATTTTTTGTAGAGATGGGATCTTGTTAAGTTGTACAGGCTGGTCTCAAACCCCTGGGCTCAGGCACTGTGTTCTTTACTAGGTACCTGAGAAAGGCGTTCTTCCCCAAGCATCAGGACCTGCAGTTTGCTGGTGAGGCTGGGCGGACCTGACCCCCATTCTTGTGGGTCATCCCGCAAACACTGAGAGATCACCTAGTCCTACCACCCGCTGTCCAGTTGGGAGGGCAAGGCCCATGCGTGACATTAGTCAGGCAGCAGAGCTGGAACTCAAACCAAGGGCCCCGCTGCACCCTCTGTTTCAGCACTTCCTTCCCCCGCAGGGCTCCTGAATCCCTTGGACAGCCCCCACCACGTGCGGCAGGATGAGGAATCCGAGTTCCGGGAAGGCGTCGTGGTGGACCGGCCAACCCGGCCAGGCCATGGCTCTTTTGTCAACTGTGGCATGAAGAAGGTAGGAATGAATGGAAAGGCAGGCTGGGCCCTCCTTCCGGGACACACCCTGGCTGTAGAGGGCAGGCATTCAGGTGGGGGCCCTGGACCCGCCTACAGATCCCCCATGGATGCAGATTTGGGCCAGAGAAGTACCCAAAATGGGGCTCAATATATAAAAGCCAAGAATGAATTTACTGTTGTTTAAGAAATAAATCAGGTCAAGTGTGGTGGCTGATAGCCTGTAATCACAGCACTATGGGAGACCAGCCTGGGCAACATAGCAAGACCCCGCCTCTACAAAAAATTTTAAAAGCTGGGTGTGGTGGTACATGCCTATAGTCCCAGCTACCCAGGAGGCTGAGGCAAAAGGATTACTTGAGGTCAGGAGTGTGAGGCTGTGGTGAGCCACGATTGTGCCATTGCACTGTAGCCTGGGCAACAGAACGAGATCTATAAAAAAGCAGCAAGTTTATTTATTTTTTATTTTTTGAGTTGGAGTCTTACTCTGTCACCCAGGCTGGAGTGCCATGACACACTCCCGGCCACCCCAGCGTCAACTTGATGGGCTCCGGTAATTCTTCTGCCTCAGCCTTCCAAGTAGCCAGAACTACAGGCATGTGCTACCACTCCTGGCTAATTTTTTAATTATTGTAGAGATGAGGTCTCGCCAAGTTGCCTGGGTTGGTGTCGAACTTGCAGGCTCAGGCAATCCACTCACCGCAGCCTCCCAAAGTGCTGGAATTATAGGCTGAGCCACCGAGCCCTGCAGCAAATTTCTTATGCTCAAAACAAAACCCAGCAGAAACAAGTTGATCATCCCTCTGGTGCTGCTCCCGTGTGATGCAGAGCTATGCTGGGGGCTGCAGTATTAATTTGCCAGCTCAGCCAGGTATGGTGGCTCATGCCTATAATCCCAGCACTTTGGGGGGCCAAGGCGGGGGGATCGCTTGAGGCTAGTTCTAGACCAGCCTGGGCAACATACCAAGACCTCTCTACAAAATTAAAAAATTAGCTGGGCATGGTAGTGCCCATCTGTAGTCCCATGTACTTGTGAGGCTGAGGTGGAAGGACTGCCTGAGACCAGAAAGTCAAGGCTGTAGTGAGCTGTGATCATATGACTGCACTCCAACCTAAGCCACAGAATCAGACCCTGGCTCAAAAAAAAAAAAAAAATTGTCTGGGTACAGTAATTCAAGCCTGTAATCCCAGCATTTTGGGAGGCTGAGGTGAGAGGATTGCCTGAGTCCAGGGGTTTGAGATCAGCCTGAGCAACTTGGTGAGATTTCATCTCTACAAAAAAAAAAAAAGCCAGGTGTGGTGGCGCATGCCTGTAGTTCCAGCTACTTAGAAGGCTGAGGCAGAAGTATTGCTGGAGCCCAGCAGGTCGAGGCTATGTTGACCGTGAGCGTGCCACTGCACTCCAGCCTGGACGACAGAGTGAGCCTCTGACTAAAATAGAAAAAAAAAAAATTATCCAGGCGTGGTGGCGCATGTCTGTAGTTCCAGCTACTTGGAAGGCTGAGGCAGAAGAATCTCCTGAGCCCAGCAGGTTGCGTCTGCAGTGGCCATGAGCGTGCCACTGCACTCCATCGTGGGCACTCCAACTCAAAAAAAACAAACAAAAAACAAGAGTCTCACCCTGTTGCTCAGGCTGGAGTGCAGTGCTCAATCCCAGTTCACCGCAGGCTTGACCTCCTGGGCTCAGGCCATCCTTGTGTTTCAGCCTCCCAAGTAGCTGGGACTATAGGTGTGCACCACCACACCTGGCTAATTTTTGTATTTTTTATAGAGACGAGATCTGGTTATGTTGCCCAGGCTGGTCTTGAACATCTGAGCTCAAGTGATCTTCCCATCATGACCTCCCAAAGAACTGGGATTACAGGTGTAAGCAATCACGCCAGGCCATACCTATTATTAATGGAGAGTTTTTGGTGTGACAGATGAGGAAACTGAGACTCAGAGAGGACCTTCTCAAACTCCTACAGCTAGTAAGTGGCAGAGCCACCAAAAGTAGAAAACTGGGATTTCATCTGCTCTGTGCCAGGTCCCAAGCATCTGTTTTTGTTTTTGTTTTTGATTTGTTGTAGAGATGAGGTCTCGCTGCTCAGGCGGGTCTTGAACCCGCGGGCTCAGGCAATCCACTCACCTCAGCCTCCCAAAGGTGCGGGATTACAGGCTGAGCCACCGAGCCCTGCATCAAGCATCTGTTTTGACCAGTGTCTTGTGATGGTGGTTTTGTACAAATGGCCTCCTGTGAGCACGTGCCAGAAGGGGAGGCTAGCAGGATGACCTTGACACCTTGGGTCTGGGACGGTGGCGATCCCTGCTGGCCTTGAGGGGAATGGCACCTATCTCTTCTGGCTTCTCCCCAGGAGGTGAAGATTGACAAGAATCTGGAGCCTGGACTTCGGGTGACAGTGCGAATGGACCAGAAGCAACTCCCGGGTACCTAGAAGCGCCCCCAGCCCCTGGGTGGCCTGGCCAGCCCCAGGGCTTGTGGCCTCTCCTGCTGCCCTGTTCCCTTGTCCTGCCCTTATAGACTCTGTTTCCCCTGCAGAACGCAAGACCCACCGTGGCAGAGTCGTGTCCTCACAGGACCCTCGCACCAAAGCAGGGCTCTACTGGGGCTACACCGTCCGCCTGGCCTCCTGCCTCAGTAAGGACAGGTGTCCTTCCCTGAACGTTCATCCTGCCCTGCGGGAGGTGGAAGCAAACCCTGCTTGGCCCCAGGTCAGGCCAGGGTCCTTCCCCTACCCACTTGCCATGTGTCCTTGGGCAAGTGCTTTTTTCCTTCTCTGGGCCTTGGTCTCCCTGAGTGTGCTGCCTGGAGTGCTGCCAAAGACTTGGGAAGGAAGATGTGATGATTGATTTCTAATGTCTGCTGTGAGGTTGAGAAGAGGCAAAGGGTCAGATGAGTCTGAAGTCTACCCGGGTCCTTGTTGCTCCTTCCTCCCCAGCCTCTGCTCTGTTCCCCTCCCTGGCTCCATCCTTGACTTGCTGGGGACGATGGGGAGGCCTAGATATGGCACCACCTGAGACACACACACGCACAGCCAAGAGGCTGCAGCTTGTGGGAAGCAGGCCCCCCTGAGCTGGCTCCTCCCCCAGGTGCTGTGTTTGCTGAGGCCCCCTTCCAGGATGGGTACGACCTGACCATCGGGACATCAGAGCATGGCTCAGAGGTGGCTTCTGCCCAGCTTCCCAGCTTCCGGTGGGTGGGGGCTTGGGGAGAGGAGGGAGCCGGGAACCTGCCTGGCTGAGGCTGCACACTGGGCCAGGCCCTGCCTTGCCCTGGGGGAGGGCAGAGTCGGCGGTGCTCAGGTCCCTCCTGCCGGTGCCAGGCATGCCCTCGTGGTGTTCGGGGGCCTCCAGGGGCTGGAAGCCGGAGTGGAAGCTGACCCCAACCTGGAGGTGGATGATCCCAGCGTCCTCTTCGACCTGTACCTCAACACCTGCCCCAACCAGGGCAGCCGCACCATCCGCACAGAGGTGAGCCTGCCTGCCGTCCTGCCCCCAGCAATGGGGGGAGGGGGTGCTGCTCTCCCCTGCGGCCCACCCCCCCCAAGGCTGCTCTCTGGCGACGGGTCTTCTCATGACCCTTGGTCTTGTGGCAGGACCAGACCAAGTGCAGCTGGGAGTCAGGATCTTGGGCGCTGTTGGGGTCCTGCTGCTCTGGGCCTCTGCCTCTTAGACTGTGTGCTCCATGGTCCCAGTTTGCCACTGCTTGGAGTGTGACCAGTGGGTGTGGTAGCTGTTCCCTGGGGAGTCCCCGGGGAGCTATGTGCAGCCGTGTCTGAGAGCCTCGGTTATGGGCATCACAGAACCTGCACACTCACTTTTGGGGTCCGCATGGAACACTGTGCTATGGGCATCCGGGGAGGAGGAGACTCTGTCGCTCCCATCAGTCTCAAAGGAGAGATGCCCACCAGATGGTCATCCTGACTGCCTGTCCCCAAGGCCCTGCCCAGGCCAGGTGCTCCGAGGGTGCCAGCCACATCCCCAGCAGGAAGCTGGGCTCCCACCCTTCCAGCAGCGGCCCTGGGAGGTGCACACTGTTACCAACATCCCCATTTTACGGAAAGGGAGAATGAGGAGCAGGTGTGCCAAGTGCCAGGTGGCAGATCTGCAGCGTGAACCTAGGCCTGTCCTTAGCTGGGGGCTGTAACCCTGAGGGGCTGGCCGGGAGCTCCCATGGCCCCGCTTATCTCTTCCAGGAAGCCATCCTCATCTCCCTGGCTGCCCTGCAGCCCAGCCTCACCCAGGCAGGTGGCCGGCCCACCTGACGGTTGTCGGTTCAGGAGAGCCATGATGCGGAAGCAGGCGCCTGCAGGTCACCCGGGACAGATACAGCCAAGACTTGGCTCCAAAATAACCGCTTTACTGTAGCCCAGCCCCCACCCCCACAGTCTTGCAGCTGCGCCCTCACTTCCTGCCCGCCGTGATGGCCTTGAGGCTGCCTGCTCGTGCCAGGATGTTGGGCACGAAAAGCAGTCCCGAGGCCCGCTCGATGCTCTCGATGGGCACCAGGAAGCGCTCCAGCGGGATCGCCTCGTCCACAGGTGCGTTGGGCATCACGTAGGAGCGGAGCTCTATCTGCCCATCTGCCGCCTCCAGGATCAGCACCTTGAAGAAGTGTGTGGGCACCGCCACATGGTTCTTGCCGATCACCTGGTACTTCACATAGGACTTCCCATCAGCCTCTGTCCTGTGGACAGAGCATACATGGGCGGGGGCCTGGTGGAACCCAAGGCCATCGCTTCCAGGAGGCCTCCCTGATCTGACCTCCAGCTTGTCGGCCTGCAGGACTGCCCCCTCATTGTGGGGCTCCTGTGCCCTGGCCTGGTTCCTCTTCGAGGCTGGACCTCTCCAGGGTACAGACTCTTTCCCTGTTTTCCTCCATGCTCAATGTTGGGTCAGGCACAGTGGATGCCAATAAATGCTGCTGAAAGAAGCAGGCATTCTAAATGTGCACATTCATCTGTGTGGATACTTGATTACTGTCTGTCTCTCCCCGAGAGAAAACACCAGTGGGCAAGGACTGTGACAGCTGTAATCTCAGCACCCAGCAGAGATGTGGGACACTGCATGGGTGTCTTCTGGGCTTCCTCTCAGCAGACTCATCTACATTGCAGCAGGCCATGGGAGACACTTGCTACGGAAGTTTCATTCAGTGCCCTAGTTACCACCTCGTCAGCCTGCGCTGAGACCTCCCATGGGCTGAGCATGTGAATGCCGACTATGGGGCCAACTGGATTTTTTGATTGTTTGTTTTGAGTCGAGGTCTCACTCTGTTGCCCAGGGTAGAATGCAGTGGCTCGGCAATGGCTCACCACAGCCTCAACATCCTGTGCTTAGGCAGACCTGCCTCAGCCTCCTGAGTAGCTGGCACTACAGGTATGTACCACCACGCCCAGCTCATTTTTTGATTTTTGTAAAGACAAGGTCTTGCCACGTTGCCCAGGCTGGTCTCAAACCCCTGGGCTCAAGGGAATCTCCCATCTCAGCCTCTCAAAGTGCTGGGATTACAGACGTGAGCCACCGCACCCAGCCGAGGTCACAGGTTTTGTCCCCAATTTGTATGACAGAATGTTGAGGTCGTTTGCCCACGGGAACAAGGCACTAGGTAATAAGGGCTGGACGCCATCCCTAGCCTGCAGACTTCAGAATCAGCTGCCCAGCCTCACTTGGTCCTTGGGGGCCAGAAAATCAGCATCCCCAGAGGAGCTCAGTGCCTTCCACCTGGGAGGCAGGGCTGCAGAGGACAGGAGTGAAGGCCCTGGGTCAGGCAGATATGAGTTCAGACTTGCCCTGGAGAAGGGTAGGATCAAGGAAAAACACTCCAGGCAGAGCAGAAATGGAAGGCAGGAGAGCTTATGTGGCGGGGGCCGGCAAGGATCTCCATCTGGGAAAGCAGGGCAGGGCGGGTGTGGCAAGAGATGGCAGAGGAGAGAGGAACAAGGGCAGGTTCAGTGTCTGCTGCCAGGGCAGAGTAGAGACAGTTGGGCGGGCACCCCAAAGGCCTCTGGCTAGGAAGAAAGAGGGCACCCAAGGCAGGGAAGCTAACGGACTTGCTGAGAAACCAGATGACTGGGGACCTGGTGTTGACCCAGAGGCTGGGGCAAGCCGCGAAAGTGGCAGGAGGGCCCTTGGTGAACGGGACACTACGGCCTCACCTAGGCAGGAAGAGCGGCCCTGTGCAGACGTAGACATTCTGGTAGGTGCGGGTCAGGCTGCGGCTGTACTTTTCCAGGTTGTTCCACGCATTCTGGTTGAGGTGGGGCACCTGGCAGGAGAGGTAGAGCTCAGGGGGACTGAGGCTGGGATCCTTCCTCCTCTATCCGAAGCCTACTGGCCCTGCGCGGTGGCTCATGCCTATAATTCCAGCACTTTGGGAGGCCAAGGTGGGAGGATTGTTTGAGCCCAGGAATTTGAGAGCAGCCTGGGCAAAACAGCAAATCCTTGTCTCTGTTAAAAGAAAAAAAAAAAAGAGGTTGCCCCAGGCCCTAAGGGGAGGGACCTGCCAAGACTGCCGAGAGATGTCCAGGGAGACAAGCATGAGAAAACTGAGACTCAGGGAGGGTCACTCCCTGAGGCCAGGAGGCCTAGGTAGAACTGACAGAGGTGCCAGCTGCCCCATCCCTGTCTATCCCTCCCATACCCTAGGACTCAGTCTTCTCTCAGCTTCAAAGAGCTGCATCTCCCCTTTAAACAGAGGGGCTGAGGCCTGGCCCTGTACTGCCCTGAAGGGCTCGTGGAAAGGCCACCACTTCTTCCCTTCCCGATCTGAGTCACTTGCAAAGCCCAGCCAAGAATATTATGAATCTGCAACATTGCCTGCGCTGTCTAGGTCTCAACAAAGGAAAATGGGTAGGGGGCTGTGCTGCTGGCAGAGAACTGGGGTTGGAGGCTTGCCCCCAACGCCATAGCCCCACTCGGGCCCCACCCACTAAATGCCAGGCCTGTAGGTACGGCAGCTGGTCCAGGGTGCACAAGCACTGGCACTAACAGCCCCACCATGTGCCAGGTGCCTTTCTTGCAATGGGGGGCAGGCAAGTAGTGTAGGACAAGGGCTGGCAACACAGGCTGCCTGGGCTCTCCTCCTGCTGTGACACTGTGCTGTTCTGCAGCTCTGAGCCTCGGTTCCCTCATGGGAGCTAATAACCAACGGCCTGGAAAGTGTGTTCAATTTTTGTGGTTGCTGCTTTAGTAGAGACGGAGGTCTTGCTGTTGCCTGGGCTGCTCTTGAACTCCAGGGCTCAAGTAGTCCTCCCTTCTTGGCCTTCCAAAGTGCTGAGATTACAGGCACGAGCCACCGTGGCACCAACAGGCTTAATATATGTATATATTGTTTTGTTTTGTTTTGAGTTGGAGTCTCACTGTTGCCCAGACTGGAGTGCAGTGGCCGCTCCTGGCCACCGCAGC